AAACATATTACTGTATAGATCGATCGTGCAGGGATTTCCTGTGAGTAAGCAATACACGTCGCATGACAGGTTAAGCCACTCTGGTTGTTTTCATTCTTATTACAGTGGCCACCTAAGAGAAAGCTGGCAGTTCCAGCAATTAATAATTGAATGCGCAATGTAGTCTAAACTGTCAATTCAGCGAAATTTGCACCAAGTGAAAAAAAGTATGTTTACAATATAAGAAATGATTGAGCGAGTATGGTTTTACGTCGCTTTTAGCAATATTCTAGCAATATCACGGCCAAGTACACCAGAAATGGGCTTCACAGAATCACACATTGTGCCCATGTGGGGAGACCGCCTCCGTGGTGTAGTGGTTAGAGCGTCCGCCCGGAGAGCGGAAGGTCGCGGGTTCGATCCCCGACCGCGTCATACCAAAAGACGTTAAAATATGGTACTTGTTGGTCCCTGCCTGGCGCTCAGCATTAATGGGTACAACAAGGACTGGTTGGCTCGGGAGTCAGTATAATGTGTCTGAGTGGGGTATTCATGCTTCACTGCGGCATGGTATCTCAGTGGGCTAGCACTATAAAACCAGCTTAAGTCTGGGCTAGTACAAGCAGCCGCACATACACATACACACGCATGCACGTCGTCATATGAGCGAAATATTCTCAAGCACGACGTTAAACCCAATTTCACCTCACCCCATGTGGGGAATCGAACCTGGGAATCAACCATTAGGCTACCCCACCGCCCCAGCTTACATTTAAACAAACAGCACAAGACAATGAATGCAACAGATTTCCCGAATCAATCTCTTTCGTTTAATACCTTATTTGAAGTGGGTAATGAAACTGTTTTATTTAAAAATTGGTACGATGTAGGGATACACTTTGTTTATGATTTGATGAACTCAAACACATGTGAATTTTATACACATGAAGAATTGCAGGATGTTTTTACAATTAAAATAAACAGCCTTATATATCGAAGCATAAAATTTCAAACTGAGTTTCACAATTTGAAAAGGCTGAATTTTTAACTCAACTTCATTTTTAAAATAAAAAAGCCCAAACAACTTAAGTAATCTATCTACCAAACTCAAATTGTCTACTACGTTTGAGTTTAATATTGATTTCAGTTTATTGTGGGAAATGCATTTTTCTGTGTTTTTCAAATTTGAGTAACAACTCTAACTTAAGTCAAATCTCAGACTTAAATTTGTTTTGAGAAATTGGGGCCAGATTCCTTAGGCCAAATAAAACAAGAAGACAAAGTCATCAATATCCCCCGCAATGGCAAAATACTCTTCATGAATATGTCTACGAGTTATGATTATGTCAAATATTTAGGTGTGTATATAGAAAAGTGGAAGGAGAGTATTGAAAGGTTTTTAAAGTTCTGCTCCAGAAAATAGCACTATCCCCAATTTCAGTCTATGTCAAACTTGTTGCCATGGAAACACCAAAAATATTTTATTCAGAATTCCAAAACTACCAAAAGGCACGAGTTCTCCACCAGATCTATGTATGTGCCAAGTATCTTGAAGAAATATTGAACGGTTTTAAAGTTCTGCTCCAGAAAAGACAAATGTGCACGGAAGGAAGGACGGACGGACAGAGTCCATTTTAATATATACACACACACCCACAAAACGCGTTGAGGGGGATAAAAATGTTGTGGTTCCGATTACACCTCTTTAAAATTTTGGGTAAGTAGGTAGGATTTTTTTGGGTATATATTTTATGTTTATTTAATCAGGTTTGCGGCCATCATGTTGCCTTTCTCTGTCGGAATGACCGATGTCTGTCGTTGCCGGGAAAAAACAATGGTATCTGAAAGCCCATTTTATTCATACTGCTTTAAAAAATAGGGTCGACACCAGAATTCAAGGGTCGATCAGGTAATCGGAACCACAATTTTTAGGCCTTACAAACATCATCAACAGCCTGGAAGATGACTTGTGAAGTGTTCCTAATTGTTTGCAAGGTCAATTTGACAGTGCTGTCCATAGTGCAGTGACCTGGCTTGTTGTGTTCAGTTATGACATTTTATGGTGATTTCCATAGGGTACTGTCCACCAAAAAGGTTCTCTTTACGGATTTAAATAAACAGTGAGTCTGAAGTAAATGGCTCTCGGGTATTGTTAACCTTGCCATGCTGCTTCTTGCAAAGCAAGGTGGTACAGATCAACTTCATGATAAGCTTGGCTGGCCAAGGTGCAGGGCTCTTCTTAATTAGTTTCCCTGGTGGTTTGTTGCCGAAGAATAACTATGGTGTCCATGTCAATATGAGAACACATGGCCAGCAGTCCAATGAGACTTTTGTTATTTAACGTTTTGTACCATATTTAAGTGTCTCCCCCTCCACTCCAAACTAAAGTACTGTCGGAAATGCTAGAAAAATGCTTTTGACTTATATTTAAAATTCAGAGGTATTACAGTTATTTAAATAACAAATATCACTTCAAGAAACATCTACCTAATGTAGACCGAGGGAATAAATTTTGAGACATGCTCTAAAATGTGTTTTTACTGATGAAAATATAAAAAACTTAGAAAAATAAGGGGTAGTGAGACGTTATTTGATACAAACATTAACTGCCTGTGTTACGTCATCAGCATGCATGGTATCGACAGGTGAAATTGACACCTGAGCACACGCTCGGGGGAAGGGCCATCTCAATAGATGTTTTCTGCAAAATGTTGAATATGTGTACGTATAGTATACGTATTGGTTATGTAAGTGATCATTTGTGTATGTGTGTTTGTTTTGAAATAAACATACGAATTACTGTACATTGGAAAGAATCCTATCACTTGTGTTATCTTATCGATTGACTGTAGAAATGTGCAACGTTTTATTAAATGTTTTGCATGTCAACAGTATATTTCATTGAAAAAATATGGATGTAATTCGGTCAGTTTAATCTAGTCGTGAACATTGGCTAAAGATTTAACGAAGTCACTGGTGTAGCTTCTTTAGAATATATATATTCTTCTTCTCATAAAGTTTGTAGACCGCCCGTCTAAGCACTCCCTTGTCAAAGTTGTCAAGGATGGTTTTACGTCCCACAAACATTCAACATTTATTTGTTTAGGAACAACGTTAATTCATATTTTTACACTACCTGTATTATTAGCATAAATGTAAAGACTATTTCAGATTTCTGTTGTTGAACTCTGAAAAAGTCTTAAGTTGCTGTTTTGGTACCAAATTCTCTCCTGTAAACTGCCCTTTAAATGCATGGGAATGTTAAATCGATTGAAATAAAAATTAGGTACACTATAGGCGAGTTGATAGATTGACAACATAGTATATTTATCACCTTTATAAAGATATTAAGGCTAAAAAGCATTTTTCTAGCATTTCCGACAGTACTTTAGTCTCCTATAACAGCAAGAGACATTGTGACTGAACATGTTATGGCATTAATCATGTTAATGGAGATAGCTTTTTCCATATGGTCAAAGTTGGATGTACATTCCCTTCTAACTAAATCGGCTTTAAAGAAAGTTGACTTATTACACACAGAAAGTACTACTTAGTGAATTCTGGTGGAAGTGGCCATGTTGTTGAATTTACAATTTATCATACCATCATGTTTCTACTCAACATATATTTCCCCTCAGCCATTTTGAATTGCAGTTTATCTGAAATTTTACAAGATGTGACTTCGCTGGCAGCTTTTCTGACAACAGGCACTTTAGTGCTACTGCTCAAGTGACAAAGAACTCAGAATATAGCTACGAAACACACATTTTTTATCAAATTTGAGAAACATCAGTTCTAACCAGATCACCGAAACATATTTAACTACTACGAAAGAATAGTATTTTAAAGAGTGCTTACAATGTTTTAGTGCTGTTAAAAACCTCAGTGCGAGATCATCTGTTTGGTCTTGATATCTGCTATCAGAAACCTTGCTCATGCAAGGCTTAGTGGATTAAACAGCAAGTCAATGAGCCGAGTGAAAAGATATGACGTCATTCCAAAGTGTGAGTGAGTTTAGTTTTACGCTGCATTCAGCAATATTCCAGCTATATGGCGGCGGTCTGTAAATAAACGATTCTGTACCAGACAATCCAGTGATCAACAGCATGAGCATCAATCTGCGTAATTGGGAACCGATGACATGTGTAAACCAGGATGCATAGTTTTTTCCACGCTTATATATATGGTATCCGGCCAAACAGCAAATGTCAATGCAAACCTGGATACACCTCAATATGTAATTTCATACCCTGGGAACAATTAAGACTGTCAGTGTTTGATGTTGCCACACCCAAAAATGCAACTTCTATTTTCGAGTATGATTTCAATGTTGACACCTGACTTTGATGTTAATGATAGCAATGATCCAATGATCCCTGATATTCAACTCATTATATCTTAAATATAACTAAATGTTCTGCCCGTAACCCCCGCTTGAAATGTATTCTATATATTAGGTTTATTACAAGGGTTTAGGGTTAGGTTTGCGGTTATAGCTTAGGGTTATTTATAGGCTATTTATATAAAAAACATAGGCCTATATCCTTAGGCATAGAATGATTTTAAAGGGGCGGAAATCGTTCCGCTAAACCATAAACATTCTTAGCGTGTTCATTTCTTCTACTTATTTTCAGTCTGAACTCACGCTTGTTCTAATACGTTAACCATGTTTCGTTCCCTTTTATTAGCAGCATGAAACAAACAGGACCGACAAGTATCTGGCACAATGCTTGTGTACCGTCGTCTGTATCCTTGTCTACGTATGGTATCACGAAATTGTGCCCATGATAACGTATGTGAGCCAATGAATAAAATGGTATCACAGTGTGTCTTTTGATAAACATGCTCCGAATCCAACGCGGACATCATTCTTAAAATCATCAACAGCATAAGTCGACACTGAACGTTTAACCTACAGCAACAGCATTAGAAATACCCATACGGTCTAAAGCACTCGGATTTTATCCCCTGTTAACCAAATATATCGTATCAATTTTCTACATTGCCATAACCATGCTTACCTGTTCAGCCATGTTGGATTGAAAGGCCGGAACGGGGTCTTTTCACTTCCGTCACGGGTTCCTGTAAACTCCTTACAGCGAAAGCTTGTATTGCTTTATCCTCTTGAAACGCTGTTAAGAATACGAAATTAATCCGAATCAACTATTTCCCTTTACACTGGGTACTGAAAAGATAACGACTAATACGTTTGTCATTCAATCTATGCAGCTGCAGAAAGCAAAATGTAATGCCGCCTGCCCGAACATTGATTTATCATAGATGGCAGAGGACCGCTTCCTCCATTGGTATCAATATACAATATATTATAGGTCTGGTAAAAAAACAACAGAAAACGCATTAATAGCGAGCGCAATATTTGGAGTCACACTTTGTATGACAAGCGACTATTAAACCAAGAACAGTCAATAAAACTACGAATATTTCACATGAATTGAAGTCACGTGCAAATGTATCATTCCATTTTATGTATTTTTCGTTGGTGTTACAAAAAGTCTTTAGTGCATCATCATCGTCGTCATTAAAATCTTTGATTGGGAATTAGAAGCGATACACACAAAGGGGGAAAAATTATGGATGTCAGCTTCTGTATTAACAGGAACACGGTATTTCGAAATATGTTCTTACCCTTTCATTAACCTGATGAAGCAGGTAAAAATAAACTTACGTTGTGTTCATTAAAATACAGGAGGTCCAAAGAAACATCCACAAAGTTCACCCCAGTAATATTGTTATGCTTTACAGATTAAAACAGGTATGTGCATCAAAGTAGCCTGTCTTGAGTACAGTCCCAGAACCACATTATTTTCCCTACTACCTAGCCCACCCTGCAGTACTAAACCCCTAAATGAAGCAAGTCTACAGTTCTTCCATCCTCGATAATCTCCAGTAGTATACACAATGGTGGAACTGCATCAGGTCCTTCCCAAGGCCTTAATTTTCCAAATGAAGGCCTTGGTAAGTCCCTAATGCAAGTTCCACCATTGTGTATACTACTACTGAGGTTCATGCAAAATTTGATGAAAATCGGTCAAATAGTTTCTGAAATATTGACTTTTAAGGGAGCATGGGGTCGGTCGGGAAAAAGGCTCGGGTCGCCTCGGGGTTGGTTGCTCCTCTGAGCGCTGTGGGCGGATGAGTTGCAGTGTGTGCGCGTTTGCGTGTGTCTCTCGGCTCCGTGTATGGGTGACTGGCTGGCTACATTAAGCAGAAAATAGGCATGCAAGACCGATAAAAATCATGACGAGAAACTATCATCACACGCTGGGTGATGTGTAAGGGATTGTGTTGCGAGGTACGATCATCAACTCCTCTCTGACGAATGCTTTCGGCGGTCCGTATTTCAAGTAGTACAAGTTCAGTTCGCCGTCTTTGATGTCGACCAGGTCTACGTTGTACATTTTCATGGACCATATCGGATCAGTGGTGCGTTTTCAGCTGTCTCCCTCATATTCGCCCGGCTGGTATAAGTACCTAACGCTGACACGGTCCGGTAATGTTTTCTCGGCTTTATCGCGACGTTGTGCCAGACGTTGGCTAAGGTGCGATTGAATCTCTTGACTATAGCTTGGCTACGGTGAGCTCCTGCCACACCTCGTCTCACTCATACTTTGTGCTTGGCCAGCAGCTGCGACACTGCTCCAATGAACTCACGTCCGGGATCGACTTGCAATATGTCAGGCCATGTCAAGCGACTGCGTTTGTAGATGCGTTCCAAGGCTTTGGCGACTTCGTTCGAATCTATGGTCGTCTCGACGTCTCTACTCCATATAGTGGGGATCCCAGCGTTTGGCCGTGGAAACTGGTATGGGCGTTTCTGTCTTCCCGTCGACCGGTATGTGGGCTGGCGTGCTAGCCGGTGTGCTGTGCTTCCAGGTCTTGTGGACGACCTACCAGAGAAACATGGCAACTAGCGAAAGGTAGACCCACCTTTGGGCCGATTCTACAATCTGCCGCACCTTCTCGATATCCAGACGGGTCTCTTCCGCACGGGCTGACAACATCATCGCGTTTTGTTCCACACGAGCCTCAAGCCTCCCCAAGCAGTCGTAGAAGTCCTGGACGGTGGGCGCAGTCGACGGTTCTGCAGCAGGCAATACGGTTGGGCTGGAGGTAGACATCGGATTTGGAGCTGTCTTGCTAGCGGGCAAGAGGGTGTTGGTGGACTGTTCTGCAGTTGGCAATACGGATGTGCTGGAGTTCGGATTTGTAGCGGTTCGATGATTTCCAAGCATCTTGCGAATCTCTTCCACTTGGTCTTGCGATAGTTGTCTTTTCGGAGGCATTGTGTTTGTACTATATATCTGCATTCGCACAATTGTTTATATTGAAAACTAGGCAGAGCCTAGGCGAACTAGGCACGGCAAACTAGGTACAAACTAGGTGCGAACTAGGCAGAACCTAGGCGGACTAGGTACAAACTAGGTGCGAACTAGGCAGAACCTAGGCTGACTAGGCACACTAGGCAAACTAGGTATTGTCCCAGATGCCTATCCCACCCACACGCCGCAATAGAGTCGTTCTCTCCGCCAACGTCGCCTTATTCGTCGTCCACCGGCCGTTGTCCCAGATGCCTATCCCATTTATACGCCGCGATCGAGTCGTTCTCTCTGTCAACGTCTCCTTATTCGTCCTCAAACGCGGGCAAAATCGAGACGAAAACGAACGAAAAAAAAGTTTCTACCGCCCGACGCTCGCTGTTTCGACGACAACATCGAAAACTCGAGATTGGATACTTTATCGCAAAGAAAGACGGAATAATCATCGTCTCGTGAGCAAAGTGCTCGCTGTCAAGAGCCAACAGACGCCCGAGCGGATCTATTCATCAACATATCAGTTTGTTTTCGTCGCCCAAACATGAGCAAAAAACATAACAAATATGGGACAAAAACAAAACAAAAGAAATCTATTCCGTTGCCGATGTTCGCTATTCGACGACGACGTAGAAAGCTCAAGTGTGTGAATACTTTATCGCAAAGCGTCCCCTTTGTCGGTAAAACTCCTGCTCCCTCCTTCGGTAAAGCTCCCGCTCCCTCCTTCGGTCGAACTCCCGCGCTCCTCTGTCGGTCGAACTCCCACCCCCTCCGCCAGTCGAACTCCCGCTCGCCATTTGACGACGACATCGAAAGCTCGAGAGTGGATACTTTATCGCAAAGAAAGACGGAAAATTCATCATCTCGTGAGCAAGTGCTCGCTGTCAAGAGCCAACAGACGCCCGAGCAGATCTCCATCAACATATCAGTTTGTTTTTGTCATCCCGATGTGAGCAAAGAAACCCCACAAATATCAAGACAAAAGACAATCTGTTCTGTTGCCTGACGCTCACCGTTTGACGACGACATCAAAAGCTCTAGAGTGGATACTTTATCGCAAAGAAAGACGGAAAAATCATCGTCTCGTCCGTCGGTCGAACTCCCGCTCCATCTTCGGTCCAACTCCCGCTTCCTCCCTCGGTAGAACTCCCGCTCCGTCTTTTGTTTTTTATGGGATGTTTTTGTGTCCGTAGGCGAGCGTTCGGATGCCGTCTTGGTTTATCCATCGTTTGGTATCGAGCGGCGAGAGCGAGGTTTTGTTGACGGTGATGGAGAAGATGTCGTGGCCTTGACTCCGCAACATGTTCATCTTGTGTTTAGTGATTCGTTTGTCAAAGAGGACATGTTTGAAGTGTTCGTGTTTGATGTCTTGTTTGACAACTTGTTTTTTCACGCCTTTGGATTTTCGTATGTCTTGTTGGTCGGATCTTCGTATGGAGTACATTTTTGGTCTCAAACCGACGTACTCGGCGATGGGCGTGCCCGCGCATTCGTCTTTCATTTTGCCGAGCACCTTCTTGTTGGCGGCGTGATGGAGGAAGTGGTCTGGCTGGTAGTCGCTGGTGTCGTAGAGGTGGAGGTGTCGTCGTATGTCGGCGTACACATCGTCAGTTCGAACGTCGAGGGGCGTCTGTTGGCTTTTGAGAGCGAGCACTTGCTTGATTTTTCCGTCTTTCTTTGCGATAAAGTATCCACTCTCGAGCTTTTGATGTCGTCGTCTAACGGCGAGCGTCAGGCGGTATAAACATTTGTTTCGTTCATTTTCATCTCGATTTTGCCCGCGTTTGAAGACAAATAAGGAGACGTTGACAGAGAGAACGACTTGATCACGGTGTGTCGGTGGGATAGGCATCTAGGACAATACCTAGTTTGCCTAGTGTGCCTAGTCCGCCTAGGTTCTGCCTAGTTCGCACCTAGTTTGTACCTAGTCCGCCTAGGTTCTGCCTAGATCGCACCTAGTTTGTACTTAGTTTGCCGTGCCTAGTCCGCCTAGGTTCTGCCTAGTTTTCCATATAAACAATTGTGTGACTGCAGATATATAGTACAAACACAATGCCTCCGAAAAGACAACTATCGCAAGACCAAGAGGAAGAGATTCGCAAGATGCGTGGAAAAATCTCTGCACAAGAAACTAAACAACGATTTGGAATCGGTTCCAATCGACTACGCAAAATATGGAATACAGAAGAAAATATGCAAATAGCTACAAAGCCCATTTCTTCCTCCCCAGCTACAAATCTGAACTCCAGCACATCCGTATAGCCAACCGCAGAACTGTCCACCAACACCCTCTTGCCTGCTAGCAAGACAGCTCCAAATCCGACGTCTACCTCTAGCACAACCGTATTACCTGCTGCAGAACTGTCGACTGCGCCCACCGTCCAGGACTTCTACGACCGCTTGGGGAGGCTCGAGGCTCGTGTGGAACAAAATGCGATGATGTTGTCAGCCCGTGCGGAGCAAACCAAGAATTTGTTGGTCGACATCTTGTCTAGGCAAGACAAGGACGACGACGAAGAAGTACAGGAGGAAATAGAAAGTGTCAGGAGGAACAAGAAGAGACCCGTCTGGATATCGAGAAGGTGCGGCAGATTGTAGAATCGGCCCAAAGGTGGGTCTACCTTTCGCTAGTTGCCATGTTTCTCTGGAAGGTCGTCAACAAGACCTAGAAGCACAGTACACCGGCTAGCACGCCAGCCCACGTAGCGGTCGACGAG